TATACATATACATATACATGTACATATACATATACATATACATATACAAGTACATATGAATATACATATACATAAACAAGTACAAACACAAATACAAATACATATATATATATACATACATACATACACATACATATACATATGCATATACAATTACATATACAAATACATATACGAATACATGTCCATATACATAGACAAATGCATGTACATATGTAAATATAAATACATATACCTATACATATACATATACATGTACCTATGCATATGCATATGCATACGCATATGCATATGCAAATACATATACATATACATATACATATACATATACAAATACATATACATATACATATACATATACATCTACAAACAAATATACATATACCTGAACAAATACATATACATAAACATATACGTATACATATGCATATATATACGTATACATATACATATACAAATACATATACATAAACAAATACATATACATATGCATATACATAAACATATACATATACATACATAAATACATAAACATATACATATACACATAGATACATATACAAATACATATGCATATACATATGCATAAACATGTACATATACATATATACATATACATACGCATATACATATACATATACATATACATATACATATGTATATATGTATACGTATACATATGCATACACATATACATGTACATACACATATACATGCATACATATACATATACACATACATACACATATACAGATGCATATACATATGCACATACATATACGTATACATATACATATACATATACATACACATATACATATACATATACATATACATATACATATATTTATACATATACATACACATATGCATAACCATACGCCCGCACAAACACATACACATACACATACACATACACGTATACAAATACATGTACGTATATGTATGCATATACATATACATATGCATAAACAATTACATATACATATACATATACGTACACATATATACATTTATACATATACATATAAACATATACATATACATCGACATAGACATGTATATAAACATAGACATATCCATATACATATACGTATACATTTACATATGCAAAAGCGTATTCAAATACATATACATATACATATACAGTTACATGTACAGACATATACATATAAATATACATATACATCTACACATGCATATACATATACCTATATATATGCATATACGTATACATATACATATAATATACATATACATACATATACATCTTCAAATACGTGTACGTATACGTATACAAATACATAAACCTATACATATACGTATACATATACATACACATACACATATAGATATATACATATACATATACACATACATACACAAACAGAAATATATACATGTACATATACACAGACATATACGCACATACATACACATACATATAGAAATAGTTACATACATATACATATACATATACATGTATAAATATAAACAGATGCATAAGCACATACATATACAAATATAAATACATATACATGTACGTATACGTATAGAAATACATATACCTATACCTATACATATATATATATACACACATACATACATATACATATACATATACACATACATATACACATACCTCTCGCCACATTTCCCGAGGCCATGGCCACCCCTCGCAGAGGGTCTCTATGCGCGCGAATGGAAAGGCTATTCGCTAGCAGACCCGGGCGGGCCCGAAGAGCCAAACAATGCAGACGCAGGAAAAAGGGCGGGAGCTCGCGCGAAGACAGCCGCGGATAAATCCAACAGGATTCGGCCAACTTCGCTCGGGGAGGTGCCCAAGATCAATGTAGAAGCACAGACAGATCTCTCGCCACCTTCCCCCGCGCCATGGCCACCCCTCGCAGAGGGCCAATCTGTGCGCGGGTGGAAAGGCTACTCGCTAGCAGAGAGACACTTGCGCACAAAGACAGACAGAATGAACTCACACACAGTCAACCCCAAGCTGAGATGAGTCCAAAGTCTTTCAATGGCACGCCGATCAAACCACTCTCTTGCTTAGACTCCACACGGCACGAGACATCATAGAAGCACGGCGCTGGCCGACGAGCTGCCTGCGCAACGGGCGCGGGCAAGGCTCTGCCGTCTTGGCGAGCCACCGACCGCCAGGACCCGTTCCGTGCAACACTACATGCTTTCTGCCCGTGCGATGACAGTTGTGCTCATTCTCTGCACTATGACACACGCGCGCAGCAACGCTCAAATCGAGATGCACAAACATGATTCTCGCTCGCTTCCGCCAGGGAGTTCCACCCATGCAGAAATCAGCCACAATGCCCCTCACTCCCGGGCGGCGCCAGGCGGCCTGCACACAAGGCGTCAACCGCAGGCGCGACGACGCTGGGTTCCTCAGCGCAGCGGGCACGCCCTGCTCGAGGCAGCACACGAGGGCCTTCGCGGAGAAGCGGCAGAGCTCATTCGCCACCTCCAGCTTCACCCTGTCGCCCTCGAACAGTCCGTCTAGGCCCAGCGGCTGCTCGTCCAAGCGCAAGCGTGGCGGCCCTGATCCGGAGTCGCGCGCTCGAGAGAAAGTCGAGCACGGCGCCCCCAGCCAGATCGCCTTGCAGCAGCCCGAGCGGATCCACCCCAGGACGCGGCGCTGGGCTGCCCCGCGACTGAGGTCGCGCGAGCTGCGGCAACTGACGTCGACCTCAAAGATGGGCAGGCCCCACGGCGCCTGCTGCCCCCAGTAGCGGCTGAAGCGCCCGCCCCCCGCGAAGAGATCGCGGCCCAGCTAGCTGCGGCATGTCTGCGAGAGGCGCTCGCCAAGGGCGCGCTCTGCCTCCAGCGTGGCATTCAGCTCCTTTGGCGTCAGCGACCGCAGCACCTGGTTGACGCGCCCTCCTTTCTCGCACCGTCTCACCGACCGCAGGTTTTGCCACCTGCCTCTTCGCACGAGGCTCTCAGTGCTGTGGAACTCGACAAGGGCCTCGCGCGACGCCCCTCCGCGCCGCCGCTGGATCAGCGTCGGCTCGGCCAGATTGGGAAAAGGCCGCCTCGCAACTGCCCCGAGCGCCTCCTGCCACTGGGCCGCGCACCGCGGGAAGTGGGGCCTTCCCTCCAGCACGGTCTTCTGCAATGATACCGGCAGCGGCACGATTAGCTCGAACTCGGGGTCGTCGAACACCATGCACTCGTCTTGCGCCCCCACCTTCGAGGTCGCTCCTCTCTCGCGGGGGTGGAGCACCACGGGCCACTTGCGGCGGCCCTGGGCCCCTCAGCTCACCGGCGCCACCAAGCAGCAGCCCGCCAGCCTCAGCGCCTCCGCCGGCCGCGGCAGCAGCGCGAACGCCACGAGGGTCGCCCCCGCGGCCGCCAGCTGCCGCCGCGCCAGCAGATCCTTCACCAAGGCGGCATCGAAGAACTGGTCGCTCAGCCACACAACTAGCGCCTCGTCGGCCTCGGCAAGGGTCTTCAAGCTCAGTCCTACGCCGAAGCCCAGCGCGTGATGCAGCTGAATCGACTGCGGTAGTCCTTCTCCTTCAGCCGGCCCACCGCCTCGTCCTCCAGCACCGCCAACGCCCGCGCGCCCAGCGGCACCCCGCGCTCCAGCCGCGTCAGCCCTGGCTCCAGCAGCGCCTGCTGCCTCCCTGCGGCGGCCAGCGCGCGACTGGCGCCCACGCGACGGTGCGCCGCGGCGCTCACACTGGCTGCCGAGCTCGCGCTCAGCCGGCGGCGCTGGCTTCTCGCACCCAGCAGGCTCTCGCCCGCCCCCCCTCTCCGCCCCGCTCGGCCCGCTTGGGTGGGCGAGCCCAGGCGGCGGACGGAGGGCGAAGGACTCGGCCCCCTCGGAGCCGATGAAGCCCCTGGCGACTGGATCCACGAACTCGAAGCCTCCCGAGTCCTGGCAGTCGAAAGGCCTCTGAGCCACCGCCCCCTCGGACCGCGGCTCAGCCTGGCGGGCCGCGGCAGCGCAGCGCTCGCTGGAGCCGCGCGAGGCACCGCCTGCAGCGTTCCTCGCGGAGGACATTCAGCGCACGTGCACGACTGCGAAGCTGGCCAGGCACAAGGCGGCCCACTGCCCAAGGCAGCGCGCCATCGCCCAGCTTGAACTTCGCCATTCCGAGCACAACCGCCATGGCATCACTGAGAATGAGGCGTCGACGACCCACTGCCTTACTGTGTCGAAGTATGTGGCGGAGCGCCCAGACACCAACACGAGCCTCCAAGATCACCTGATCCCCCGAGACGCCCCAAGGCCTACTTATCACTCGCCTCCAGCAGCCGGCCCAGACAGACCTGGGCACCGCAGGCGCCCCTCGAAGATGTCCTTGTTCGTCCCCGGACTCCCTCGTCATCACGTGGTCGTACCCGTTGCTCTCCCGATTTCGTAAGTCTCCACCTATCAGAATATCGCCCAGCATACTTGATCGCCCCAATGTCGCATCGTCGCTCCTTGACCCCATGGCCCCACTCGCTCGCGTCAAACACGGCGACCTTTGGGTTCCACTCCATGTTGAGCTCTCCGGGGGCAAAGGCAAAAGATGACGAACCCACTCCAACTCCTGCTTCACCGCATCCCAGAGTGGTGACACACGAACAGGATGACGATCGATAAAGGCGTAGACTGTGCGAAGCACTGAAAGGATGGGGCGGCGCAGCAATACACGAAACGTGATGTGACCAACGATGCTTCTCAACTGGGAGCCGCTCGCTCGACCCCGTCGCAATCTCTCGCACGCCAAGGATGAGGCGCCATGCGGTGCGAGGGACAATGCCAACGGCAGGCCGCCACCCATCGAAGCGCCAGCCGAGCGCGCCGCCCCGGCGACTGCATGCGACGGGGTGGACGCCGAGCCCGTCGGCCTCCAGCGCCGGCCGACTTCCGTCGCCAGGCGGCGCCCTTCTTCTCCGCCCGCCCCGAGCGCCGCGAAGTTGTCCACGCACACCGCGTGCGCCGAGCCCTTGGGCGCCGAGGGGGCGGGCCCCCCGCCCACCAGCCTGTTCTCCACCTCGACGCCGGCGACCCTCTCGGCCACGGACTCGCGAAGGGCCTGGCAGACGCACAGCGCCCCCTTGAAGCCCGCGGGCAGCACGCTCAGCACCGGCACGACCTTCTCTCCAGGACGCAGGCGCACCCCGCCCAGCCAACCGACGCCGACCGCGCCAACGCACACAGGCTCCATCCCGAAGTACTCCCGCGGCTCCTCGGGCAGCCCAATGGAGCGGAAGGCCACCTCAATGTCGACCCGAGAGACGCGCGCCGGCTCGGCCCCCTCGATCTCGAGCCGCCCAAAACTGCCGCCTGTAGCCAAGCTTACACCAGGGGCATCCTTGAACCAGCAAATGCTTTCACGGCAATCCAGGATGAGACGTTGTCCCCCCCCTTCTCCCAGACACAAAACGTGCCTGCACTCTTCTTGCAGCTCCGCCTGTACTCGATGATCCCCCGCTCGCGCAGCTTCCTCAGGAGCTTCGCATACTCCTTCGGCTTCTGGCGAACGATCGGGCCGTTGTAGGCCCGGCGTAGCTGACGACGCACCCCCTCGGCCTCGCCCTCCTCGGGCGCCCGAACCAAACTCTCGAGAACCTCGAGAACCTTCACGCCCGCCGAGCCGCCAACATCCTGGACGCGAGCGGGTCGGCGCTGGAGACTGGGCAAGGCTACCCGCTCCACCTCGAGGGAGGCAACAGCTCCAGCGGCCCCGCCGTAGCTCTGCTTCCACAGGAGCTCCTCCAGGGTTCCCCGCCCGTGCAAGTTTGCACGTGGCGGACCATGCTCGCGGCGGGCAAATTCGACCCGGCCCAGGCAGGCCAATTGCGCCGCGCTGGGCAGCAAATTACGGCTGCCAGGGTCCTCAGAGGACCCGTGCAGCTCGTTGAGGGTGGCGATGGCCCCAGAGACTCCATCCTCACGATGACGCCTCCGAAGTCCCCGCCGGCGGACTGCACGGCGCAAAATTTTGCCACCACCACCACCAGGTTCACCCACCAGGTCCGAGAGAGGCGATCGGCACACAGGCAGCGGAAGCGGAAGTAGCTCTCGAGCAACGCGCCGCTCTCGGCCAGAGCTGCAAAACTGTGGTGGCTGACCCCCGCCCCTGCCGCAAGCGGGCCCAGCTCGCGGCCGGGGCAAGGGGGGGGGCCCCCACCCCGTCACTCCCCATCCTTCTTCTTGTCTATGGTGAGGGCTCGGCGCTCTTCCCGCGCCTGCCCTGCTTCATGATGTTCGCGCCCCCCTCCACCTCGCGCGCCACGAAGTCCATCGACTCGAGCGCCAGCAGGACGCCGCCGGCAACCCCGGCGCTGACCGTTGAGCACCAGCGACTCGTCAAGCATGCCGTCCTTGCCGACCGCCGTCAACGTCGCGACCCGCTCCTGCTCGCACACGTACTCCACCAGATGCGCCTGCCCGAACAGCACCACGAAGCTCGCGAGGTTGCACAGCTCCAGGTGGTCGTAGCTGCCAGCATCCTCCACCGCCCTCAGCCACATGCGATGGGCCTCCACGCCCCAGTCGCCCGTCTCGAGGCCGTGCACCATGAGGAAGTACCTGTGGTGATCCATGCGGCCGCCTCCGCGCCGATTCAAGAACAGCACGCACCTCTCGGCCGCCCGCGGGCCCACCACTGGCCCGCCAGCGAATTCTACCACACTAGACTTCGCCTCGATGTCCCGCCACTGGGCCCGCTGACGTCCTGCTTCGCCGATCTCCACCCCCAGGACCCCCGCGTCGCCTGCCGCCTCGGCGCCCACCCAGCCTCGCACCTCACAGCGCTTCAGCCGGCGCTGGCACAGCGCCGAGCCGTCAGCCAGCGCAGCAAGAGCGCTTCCTCCGACGACCGTGGCGCCGGCGGGCAGCGGCACCTCCTCTCCTCGGCGGTAGTGCTCGCTCGTCTCCACCTTCACCCAGATCAGCGCTTGATCGCCTCCTCGAGCTTCACCGTCTCCAGCGACTCCTGCTCCTCTGCCTCCTGGCGGCACTCCCCCGCGCCGAGGCCCCCCGGCCGCAGCGGCCACGCCTCCACCTCTGGCGGCGAGACCGGCTGCGACTCCCGGGGGAGGAGCCGGCGCCGCGGAAGCCAGTGGCGGCTTCGGCAGTCGCTCGATGTAGCCTCCAGGCGGCACCACCGCAGGGCCTCGCCCAGCTGCGACCTCGCGCGCGCGATGGTCCAACCTCTCCAGTGCCTCCGCCTGCTCCGCCGCGTCGTCCCGCTCCTGCTGAGTCGGCGCGGCTCGAGATCTGTACACGCTGCCTCGGGCCAGCCCAGACCGACGCGGCCAGCGAGCCTCGGCGTAACGCACCGCCGAAATGCTGTGTTCCTTCAGGTCGTACTCCTCCAGGTAGCATTCCCCAATCGGGGCGACGATGTAATTAGGCGCCCAAGACACCTTTGAGCTCGCGACGCGTCGCCTCTCGTGCCACAGTTCCTCCCCCCCATTGTAGAGCACGTACACCCAGGCGCAGGTTGGCTTCTCTGGCTGGCTCAGCACCGGCGGCATCCGCTTCTCCACGCCTTCGGCACGCGCAGCCGCGCCGGAGGCCCAGCAGCCCCTCCGCGCCGCAGGCTCCCGCCAGGCCGCCGATCGCCAGCAGCCCCAGCGCCCAGCTCCGTGGAAGCCCGAACTCGACCTGCACCTCCGCCGCTTCGGCCGGCGCTGCTGGCGCGCCGGGGCACGCCGGGCAAGCAGGAACCGAGGGCCACAGACCGCAGTTGCAGTCTGGGCAGTGCCACTCGCGGCTCCGTGGGCAGTTTGCCAGGTAGCTCCGCGTCAATCCAGTAGCCCCGCCGCGAGCTCTCCCCACATCCACCGCGAGAGCGAACCAAAGGGGATGTGGTGGCCTCTCCACGACTCAAGCTTGAGCGCAGACAGTTGCGGATAAACACAACAAGATTCGGCCAACGTCGTTTGGGGAGGGGCCGATATCAATGTACAAGTACAGACAGATACATGTACATATACATATACATGTACATGTACATAGACATATACATATACATATACATATACATACACATACACATATACATATACATATACATATAGACATACATATACATATACATATACATATACATATACATATACATATACATATACATATACATATACATATACATACACATATAAATATACATATACATGTATACATAAATATACATATACATATACATATACATAACATATACATATACATATACACATACACATACACATACACATACACATACATATACATATACATATACATATACATATACATGTACATATACATATACCTCTACACATACATACACCTATACATATACAAATACATATACCTGTACATATACATATACATATGCACATACCTATTCGTATACATATGCGCATACACATACACATACGCATACACAAACACCTACACATACACATACATATACATATACATATACATATGCATGTACATGTCCATATACATATACATATACATATAAATATACGTTTATATATACGCATACATATACATATACACATAAATAAACATACACCTAGACATATACATATATACATACATCTATATACACATACCTATACATATACACATACATATACATATATGTATATATGCATACAGACGTGCATATACATATACATATACATACACATAGATACATGCATATATACATACAGACAGACAGACAGACAGTCAGACGGACATATATATATACATACATACATACATGCATGCATGCATGCATGCATGCATGCACACATATATACATACATACATACATACATACATACATACATACATACATGCATACATACATACACGCATACATGCATACATACCTACATATATACATACATACATACATGCATACATACATACATACATACATACATGCATACGCACATACATACATACATACATACATGCATGCATGCATACATACATACATACATACATACATACATACATACATACATGTATACATATATACATACATGCATACACGCATGCATACATGCACACATACATACATGCATATCTACATACATACATACATACATACGTACATACATACATGCATACATACATACATGTATATGTTACATATATATATATATATGCATACATACATGCATGCATGCATACATACATACATATAAACATACACATATACATATATATTTATAGAGAGAGAGAGAGAAAGACAAGCCCCCCCAGGGCTCCGTCCCCCACCTCGGGAACAAATGGGGCAATTGTCCGGCACCGCCCTGCCGGGCCTCCCAGCCGCCGCGCCCACTTCGGCTCCCTCACACGCGTCGTGGCCCCATGGAGAGCTCCACCGACGGCACCAGCGACTGCTCTCGCACGGCACCACGCGCTCGCATGGCACCACCGCACCCATTTCGGCACACCCCTCACACGTTCCGTGGCCCATGGCGAGCTCCACCAAGGGCCTCAGTGGCTGCGCTCGCATGGGACAACCAGGCCCATTTCGGCACACCTCTCACACGGAGCTCCACCGAGGGCCCCAGTGGCTGCGCTCGCATGGCACCACCGCAAACGCACACCTCACCACCGAGAGCCTCAGTGGCTGCGCTCGCACAGCACCACCGCACCTATTCTGGCACACCTCTCACACGTTTCGTGGCCCCATGGGGAGCTACACCCAAGGCCCCAGTGGCTGCGCTCGCATGGCACCACCACGCCCACTTCGGCACACCTCACAAATTTCATGGTCGCATAGGGAACTCCACCGGGGTCCCCAGTTGCTGCGCTCGCATGGCGATACCGCGCGATGGGAAGCTCCACCGAGGGCCCCAGTGGCTACGTTCACACGGCACCTCCCCACCCATCTCGGCACACCCATCACACGTTTCGTGGCACCAAAGGGAGCTCCACCAAAAGCGGTACGCATACAAAGCTCTACGAGTGTGTATATAAATATATATATATATATATATATATATATATATGCACATATGCACATGCATAGAGATATTCCCCCCCGATGTACCACCAGACGTGTCCGTTGGCTGAGCCAGGCGTTTCGCTTGAGACTCCCTTTCAACGTACGATCCTGAAGCTAAAACTCCAACATGGAAGGCTGATAGGTTTCAACATCTGGCTCTCGCCTTAGCGTCGCGCACGTTCGTTGTAAAAGCTCGCACCAGTAATACGGATAGAGGGTCGGTGATGTTCAACATGTGCTTACCGCCTACAACTACGAGGAGAGAGGTCGGTTCGTTCTCAAATGGTGGCTCTCTTTCTAGATTGTCTAAAATTCTATTTGGCGGCGCGCACAAGGGAGTAGGGGGAGGGGGGAAGGCTTCTTAGAAGGAGGCCGCTTCTTAGAATCGATCTCTAAACTCGCGTAACACTCAAACGTCTGGAGGGCTGACCCTCCTCAAAACGGGGCCAACGCCGAACACCTTCCTCGGCTTCATCGCCCCACCTCTTTGCGCGCTTCTCCGGGCCAGGAGGATGGAGGGTGGACCCCCGACAATCAAGGGGCCCCAGGACACACAAATAAATACACACAAATAAAAATATTCCCCACACTTTCTCATATTGTATGAGTTTTTGTCTTCCCCCCCACTTCCCATATTTTCCCATATCTTCCTGGGGATCCACGATTCATTGTGTCTGTGTGTGTTTTTTCCCCTCCTGAGACAAGAAGGGATCTCGCCCGAGTGGCAGGCCCGCCCAGAACTCGCCGCTCGGGGGGGGGCGACCATCCAGCAGAGGGAGCGGACACCAGCAGCGACTCGCGCGGGGACCTGGGACGGGAGGGCGCACAGCCGGGGCGTTGACCTAAGGAACCCTAAATAAGGAGCGGGACCCTAAATAAGGAGCGGGGCCCCTTCCTCCCATAAGTGAAGCTTCGGTTTCCCACCGGAAACATGAGGAAAACCTGAGGCAAGCTGCGAAACGATCAAGGGACACCGAGCCCCTCCCCAACGAAAAGGGTTCCTTCTTCAGCGCCCCGACTGTACCGCAGCATCGCTGCTGCATCCTGTCGGCGGCGAGCGCGGGGGGAAGTGAGAGAGAGAACGCCTTCTGAGAGGGCGGCGGGACCTCTCGGAGGCCCTCGCGCCTTCTGAGAGGTCCTTTGCGTGTTTGGGGAAGGCTTCGAAAACTCCTCAGAAGGCTGGGGGACTTCCGAGCCTTCTGAGAAGGCCTTCCCCTTCCCACTTCCCCCCCTCGCTCGTCGCCGATCTGGGCTTACTCGGTCCTGCTCTTCCTTGAACCTCATCTCTGTGCCTTCTGCCGTTGCTCTCCTGTGCGCCGGATCGCACCCTTCACACCTGGCGGGCATGATCGGGCCGCCCCCGCTTGACCCGGCCTGCGCAGGAGCGCGCGGCGCCCTGAAAACCGTCGGGTGGCTGTCGCCCAGATGTCGGGGATCCCGCCCCCGCGTCGGTTGGGTCTCCGCGTGCACGTCGCCCAGACCCAGGCACGCTGGTTGGGCCTCCGACGGGCGCATCACGGCGCAGAGCGGGTCCTGGGGGTCGAAAGCTCTTTGGCCCGCACCGTTAAAAATTCGCACCATCAGAAGTGCGGGGGGAAAGAAAAACAAGCTGGAAGCAGCCTCAAGCCTCAAGCAGCAACAACTGCGAAAAATCTGGACCAACGCCAGTGGTTCGACTGCCTAAGTCCTCCCTCTTACTTCCTCCTAGTCCTCGGAGAGCAAGGTGCGGGCTAACGGCGGTATAGGTCCACGGCGCGGTAGGGAAGTTGGTTTTGTGACACCGAGCGCGCGCAGAAACAAATGTAGGAAATTACGGACCACGCGATCCTGCACTTCAGATATGCGAATGCATCGAACGAAAACGATACGACGAATGGCAGGAGAGCGCGAACCATGCTTTCCTACATTTGGCTTGGTCACGGACCAGTCCCACCTACACTGCTGAAACCTACCACGCCGTCACGTGTAACACCGTTAGCCCGTCTAGGGGGGAACCACAAGGCACTGATACCGCTACTCCCCAGGCCTCTCCCGGGGTGCGTTGTGACCAGAATTTCGAGGCGAATCCGGCGATGGCGACGAGTGCCGCCTGGGAGGCCCAAAAAGGCAGCAGCAACAACAACAACAACAACAACAACAACAACAACAACAACAACAGCAGCAGCAGCAGCAGCAGCAGCAGCAGCAGCAGCAGCAGCAGCAGCAGCAACAACAACAACAACAACAACAACAACAACAACAACAACAACAACAACAACAACAACAACAACAACAACAACAACAACAACAACAACAACAACAACAAAACGAGGGAAGGGTGGCAATATGGGTATATGTTCCTCCTTAGAGTCTACCGTGTCACAAGGAATAGCGGCAGCCAACAGACGACGATGGCAGACGAGGCTCACGATTCGTGTAGGGGATCGACTTCAGAATTGACTTACCCCGACAATGTTTTTGCGTCGAAACCATGAAAAAGACGTAGAACGTTCGTAGATCTGCGAACCTTCTGCGTATCATCCGTAGACTCGATCAATTCTGGGGCCGATCAATTCTGTAGTCGATCCCCCACCCGAACGATGCACGATAACAGAAGGCCGCGCCAGGAGAGCCGCGGCGCGCACAGGCAGCACGCCCGCGGTCTGGAGCAAACGCTCCTGACGGCACGAGCGGTCAGTTCGGCAGCGCGCTGCCCTCGCGTGGAGGGCTTCCCATCGACGGGTGCCGACGGTGGCCACGCGAACCAAACATGGCCCCTAGAGAAGCCGCAAAATCAGGACGCACACACACGTCCTTTCGACCCTCTAGTGTGCTTCGAGCGGCTGGTGGTCGCGAGCGTGAAAGCACGCGGTGCCATAATCCGCCACCGTGCCCTGTGCACGCTGGGGCGTGTGAGAATGCACCTCTCCTGTCTGGTAAAATTTCTGTTACTGCTGTCTATGGCCGATCTCATCAACCCGCTGCGCCGCCCTTAGAAAATCGCTCCCCTCTCCAGAGCCGACTTGGGGCAACTCAAATAAGCTACTGGTTGGAGAAGCCTGTTCCCAGAGAGGCACTGGAAAACATGCAGAACTGCCGAAAACGGCCCAAAAAACAGCAACAGCAACAGAACCAAAGACGCCTGGAGGGCTCAAGATGACTCAAGAGGGCGCAAGACGGCTCAAGGGGCCCCCCAAGATGGTCCCAAAACAGCCCCAAGAGACCCCCAAGACAGCTCGGGAGCGGACGAAACGCTTGTCTGGCAGTGCTCCCCGCGAAGCATTGTGTATCTCGCAAGATGCAAACAATAACTCTACCACGTGCAACGGCGTTGCCAGAAGACGGCTGCACTGTGTGCCACAGTCTCTGGTCTCATGGCGCAGGGCGCTCAGCCCAGCAAGAGCTGACCGCTCTTGCAGAAGCCCTGCCCGCGAGCCGCGGACGCCATGCACTGCGAGGATCCTGTCAGGAACGTCATCACGCCCTCCGAGGAGACTTGCCCGCTCACGGCAAAGGGCGCCATCTGCGCATGGACCCCGTCGTGAGCGGCACACGCCAGGCACTCGGACTGCAGGGCGTCCTCCACAGGGGTGTCCACGCACCGGATGCTCGTGGCCTCCTGGGACGACCGGCGCCAGGACTTGAACAGCGCGATCACCTCGCGCTCTCCGCGCATGACCCACTCCTCCATGACGGGCCTGGTGGGCAGCCGGGCCTCCACGTAGCAGGTTGCCCACGTCGGGTTCAGCAGGGTCTCTGGGAACAGCTCGGCGAGGGCGCCTCCCGACCAGAGCCGCGGCCCTGGGTCGGACGAGGCGGAGGAAGCGGCCGCCTCCGCGCCGCGGAGCGCATCCGCGAGCATCCTGGCGTCCGCGTCGCGCTCCGCGTCGGTGCGGTCTCCTATAGCCCGAGCGGGTGCCGCCACTGCGGTCACGGAGGGGCCGAAGGCAGAGCCCGCACCGCCACGGGAGGCAGACGCTATTGCGCCGCTCAGCGCATCCTCGAGCGCCCAAGCGTCGGCGTCGCGCTCCGAGTAAGAGTGGTCCACTACAGCACGGGAGGCGGAGGAAGCCAACGCGCCGCGGAGCGCATCCTCGAGCACCCAAGCGTCCGCGTCGCGCTCCGAGCCAGCGTGGTCCAGCGCAGCCTCAGAGGCGGAGAAAGCCATGGCGCCGCGGAGAGCATTCTCGAGTACCCTGGCGTCCGCATCGCGCTCCGCGTGGGTGCAGTCTGCTACTACGACCCGCTTGGGTGCCGCCAGTGTGGCCGTGGAGGGGGCGAAGGCAGAGCCCGCACCGCCAGGGGAGGCAAGTCGGCAGGCACCCACAGCCAAGGTCAAGGCGAGAGCCTTGCTGATCAGTCTGCGTTGCGCAGGCATGCTCAGGGCAAGTGGGTCCAAAAAGGCTGACAGACCCAATCCTCCGAGGTCCTGCTTGGAGCCAAAATGGCTGCGGGCATGATTATTTGCACTCGCTTGGCTTAGCTGGGCCTGTTGGGGCATCCTGGGAGCCTGCTGGGGCGAAAGACTCAGCAGGCTCCCCCGCTTGAGCCCATCTTGGGACCGACTTGAGGGCATCTGAAGCCGTCTTGCGCGCGCCTGGGGCCGTCATGGAGCCAAGTTAGGCCGTCCCGGGGTCCTCCTGGGGGCCTCTCGGCCCGTCCTGGATTGTCGGAAACTCGAAAAGTGGAGGCCTCTTGGGCCGTCGTGGATTGTCGGAAACTCGAAAAGTGGAGGACCTCAGAAACATCAAAAGACCATGGGAAATCAATACTTTTCGAGGCACTCGTGTGGGGCCCCGGGCGCCCACTGAAGGCTGCCCGGGGCCGTCCTGGCGCCTTCTTGGGGCCTCCTGGGAGCCTCCTGAAGCGAAAGGCTCGAAATTTCGATCGAATCTCTGGGTAAAGCTGGAAAAGCAGGAAAAGCAGGATAACACAGCGTTTTTCAATGAGGTAGTCTCTGGGAAAAGCTGGAAAAGCTGGGAAAGACGGAAAACACACCGTTTTTCAATGGTTTCGTTGTGGCGAAAGTTGGAAAACACAGCGTTTTTCATTGGAGCGGTCTCTGGGAAAAGCAGGGAGGAGGAGGAGGAGAAGGAGGAGGAGGACGAGGAGGAGGAGGAACGAGGCGGAGGAGGAGGACGACGACGAGCAAACGATAAGTGAAGGTTTTGTGATTTTTGTGGTCTGGGGGTGCTGGGGAGGAGGGCGAGATACATATATATATATATATATATATATATATATGTATATATATATATGTGTAACATATCTATACATACTATATATATATATATATAATATTAGTATATTATATAATTATATACATATAAATATACATATGTGTATATATATATATATATACACCCCAAGAGGCCCCAAGAGGCCCCCACGAGGCGCCCAAACCGCCTCCAAGAGGCCCCTGAGACGCTCCCCACGACACCCCAACACATATACAAGAGGCCTCAGACTGACAACCCAGGCACGGTGGCGGGATGGGCCGAAGGCCACTAGGATCCGCCGCCCCCTGCTTGCAGGGGTGCACGGCGTGCTGGACGAGCTGTTAGGTTTTGGTTTTGGTTCTTTTTCCAAAAGAACTCCCCAGTGGGCTCCGGCAGAACCCGCCGGCCACCCGGAAAATCCCCAAACGTGCTCAACGACCGCACAACATCCTCCAAAAAACGGCCGTTTCGCTCGGGACACCCTCAACAAATCGCGAAGATGGCCCAAGATGGCCTCCAAGTCCGCCCGAGATGGTCCAAGACGGCCTCCAAAACGGCCCAAGAGAGTCCAAGACGGCCCAAGACGGCCCAAGAGGCCCCCCAGAGTCCTCCCAGACGGCCCAAGAGGCCTCCAAGAGGTCCTCCAGGAGAGTCCGAAGAGGCCAAAATCATTGATTTTCCATTGGTTTTTGAAGGATTTTGGCATTTGCGCCTTTTCGGCTCTCCGACGGCTCAAGACGGCCCAAGAAGCCCCCAAGAGCGCCCAAGAGGCCCCCAAGAGAGCCCCCTGATGGCCCAAGTGGCCTCCAAGATGGCCCCTAGAGGGCCCCAAGACGGCCCAAGAGGCCTCCAACACGCCCAAGATGGCCTCCAAGACGCCCAAGATGGCCTCCAAGACGGCCCTGGAGCGCCCCAAGAGGGTCCCCCGTTGGCCCAGAAAGGCCCCCAAAAACGGCTCCCGACGGCGTCAGACGTGCCAGGAACCCACCAAGATGGCCGAAGTTGGCTCGAAGCTGGCCCAAAAGGGCCCAAGAGGCCCCCAAGAGGGCCTCCAGGAAGGCCAAAAGATGCCAAAATCACTGATTTTCCCAAGGTTTTTGATGGATTTGGGCATTTCCCTTTTTTCGGCCTTCTGACGGCCCGAGACGGCCCAAGAGCCCCCAAAGATCGCCGAAAGATCGCCCAAGAGGCCTCCAAGACGGCGACGAGGACCATCAAGACGCCCACGTGTTCCCCGAAGGCTTTCCAAACCGATTCGGGGAACACATGGTCCGATGGCTTGGCAGGTCTGGCCTCAACGTTCGGCCACATAGGCGCTTCCCCAAAGGCAGGGGGCGGCGGTGATTCGCCGTAGGCGTCTTCGATCCGCCGCCCCCTGTGGTCTTGCCACAAGGGTGCACGGCGTGCTGGATGTTTCAGGTTTTGGTTTTGGTTCTTTTTCTAAAAGAACTCCCCAGTGGGCTTCGGCCCGTCCCGCCGGCCACCCGCAAGTTTCCGAAAATCCATCTGTCAAGGCCTTTGTTGCCCCAACTTGGCCCAAGATGGCCTCCAAGACGGCCAAGATGGCCCAAGATGGCCTCCAAGATGCTTCCAAGACGGCCAAGATGGCCTCCAAAACGGGTAAGATGGCTCCAAGATGCACCCAAGACGGCCCAAGATGGCCTCAAGATGGTCTAAGACGGCCCAAAAGACCCGCAAAAGGCCTCCAAGACGGCCCAAGAGCCCTCCAAGACGCCCTCCAGGAAGGCCCGAATAGGTTAAAATCATTTATTTTCCTTAGTTTTTTCAATGTTTTTTGTGCATGGTTCTTCTTTTTCACTCTCCGACGGCCCAAGTACGGCCCAAGAGTTCCCAAACATCCCGCTCCCAACAGCACCAAAGGCCTCCAAGATGGCCCCATGACGGGCCAAGAGGCCCCCAAGAAGGCCCCAAGAGGGCCTCAAGACGGCCCAAGAGGCCTCCAAGACGCCCAAGATGGCCTCCAAGACGGCCAAGATGGCCTCCAAGACGGCCCCGAAGCGCCCCAAGAGGGTCCCCCGTTGGCCCAAAGAGGCCCCCAAAACGGCTCCCGACGGCGTCAGACGTGCCAGTAACCCACCAAGATGGCCGAAGTTGGCTCGAAGCTGGCCCAAGACGACCCAAGAGGCCCCCAAGAGGGCCTCCAGGAAGACCAGAAGAGGCCAAAAACATGGATGTGCCTCAGGTTTTTGACGGATTTTGGCATTTCCTTCTTTTCGGCCTTCCGACGGCCCGAGACGGCCCAAGAGCCCCCAAAGATCGCCGAAAGATCGCCCAAGAGGCCTCCAAGACGGCCAAGATGACCTTCAAGATGCCCACGTGTTCCCCGAAGGCTTTCCAAACCGATTCGGGGATCACATGGTCTGATGGCTTGGCAGGTCTGGCCTCAACGTTCGGCCACATAGGCACTTCCACAAAAGCAGGGGGCGGCGGTGATTCGCCTCACACCCACAACCCAGACACGGTGGCGGGATGGGCCGAAGGCCACT